CATCGAAAGGAGTGCAGTGGCTCCAGGCATGAAGATCTGCTCCAGTATCTTCGGATGTCTGCCCACACATCCACCATACTCTCCGTCATGAGGATCGTTAAGCTTCCTCAGGTCGTGCAGGTGGAGCTTGTGGGATTTCGCAATCGATGGGGGAAGGCTATCCTCCCATCCGTCACGGTTGTGGATCCTTACTCGGGTCTTGCCTCGAGCATCAAATTGATATCTTGCTCCACCAGTCAAGATAACGACGTCGCCGAAGTGGTCGTACGCCTTGTCAAAATGGAAGGATTCAGGGCCAACCGCACACCCATTAACCAGTCCTTCAGTATCAGGTACTGGAGAGGTAAGGACCATGGCTGTTGGAGAAGGTCCCTTACGGGTACCTTCCTCAAGCAACCCCTCGATTGGTCCCCTAGGGGTACCAATCTCCAGGGATGCTTCCGAATCTTCTGTAACCAGGGCCCTCACTGCAGGCCTAGCTCTGACTATGGACCTACATTCAGGGGTCCTAAGTGCCCTAACACAGGCTGGTAAGTCCTCTTCAAAGGTACTTAAGCATAGTAGAAGTAGTCCTGTTTCCTGGCACCTACCAAGAGGTACCCGTGATAATGAGCCGTCTTGATTGCGGATCATGCAGGTACATGTTTTCATGTCCTTAATAAGCCCTAAGGTGCTTTGTGCAAACAGGCTCAGCAGCAAGGGGTTTCGGGCAGAGGTGTCTACTTCGTGAGATTCTAGTACACCCCCAATGGTTGTATCTCCCTTGACTATGCTGAACGGCAAACGACGTTTTCCAAGTGTGTTGGATGTTGCACCTAAACCCGCAAACGACTTTTTCCTAGAATCAACCCAGGGGAAACTTAGGCCTAGCGCCTTAAGTCTCTTCTCGGCTAGTGCTCCCCAGGATGCACTATGGCAGGTGGAATTGCAACCTTCGTCGAGGGCACCCCATACGTGGGCCTCTAACGGGTCCCACATGTCTACTAGGGGGAGGTTGTCAATTCGGACTAGATCGCTACAGAAGCTGATCCTGCACCTGCAATATTCCTAGGAAAAACCTTAGGTTTTCCATCGCCCTTCCCCTTAGCCTTCGCCTTAGAGAGGGCCTTGGGCGGTGCAGGTTGACTTGGCTCTGAAGGTGAGATCCCTCTACCTTTACCTCGCTTAAGCCACCTAGGTTTCGGTTCTATCCCTGCTCCCTTGCCCTGCCCGATGGTCCTCGCCGGCGCCGCGGTCGAAGCTGAGTTGCCACTGTCGGGCAGGTCCTGTCGAGAGGCGGAGGCACTGGCCCGGGAGGGTCCAGTGAAGCGGTTAGGCCTCGTGACGTAAGGATCACGGGGCTCCTCTTCAGCTTGCACATAGGCTTGTGCTGCGTCTGCCTCCCATACAACCGACCTATCTACGAAACCACCCTTAGGGTTTTCCTTAGGGGTCGGCTCGACTGGATTAGGGGTCTTAGGGATATTTTGGTTTTGGCTCGACGACGAGGATGCCTGGGCATTCCTCGGAGAGGATGCTTGAGCATTCCCCTGTGGGGGCGAGGAGGCTTCCGCCTTCCACTTGGCGCGGATGTACTCAGGTCCTGCCTTAGCGCAGGCCTCTCTGTACTCCTCCTCGCGCCTCTGTGCGTCGAGTTCTCTTCTCCTGGCGAAACCCTCTGCCAGGATCTGCTCCCGTCTGCGTCTCCAGGCATCATGCCTTGGGAGATTCTGGAGGTCCAGGTCTCGCTCTGTAGGATCCTCCCACCAAGGGACCGGTTCGGTTCCCTGCCGCTGGCGTGCTTGGAAGTCCAGCTGCATGATCTCCCTTCCGGGAACGTGTCGCACTTGCAGACGGTTCTGAGCCGCCGACGCTGAGGCAGGAGGCGTCACACTGTCGGATTCGGCATCATTCTGAATCTGCTGGCGCGCCTGCTCAAAGGCTGCGTCAAGATCCTCTTGAGCTTGCCTGGCGATATAATCGTCCAGCTCAGCAACATTGTAGGATCCTGGCGATCCGTCGTCCGACGAACCACCCGGGAACGGGTCGTACAGATCGTCATCGGCCCTGAAGCTTTCTATTAGAATAGCTTCTCGATAATCGCGATCGAGATCCGGGTCCTGGCTGTGCACAACGGAATCGGTCCCCAGGGGATCCGAGATGTTGTACAGCTCCGGAGTATTTGAGGCTGGCTCAGGCTCTGGAGCTGGATCTGGCTCTGAAGCAGGAACGGCTGGAACAGGCTGCTTAGCCTTCCCCTTTCCTTTGTTGCGCCCGGGGCTGCGCCCTCGGGCCACCATTGCTGTCGGGGCGAACTCCCAGGAGGGACTTATGGGACTAGACCCGACTATCATGGTGATTGCTTCCTTAAGCCACAAGTGAAGCCCTGTTGGGTGAATCCGTTCCTCCAACGCAATGGCCTGGTTGATGCGATCTTGGTACAAACCCATGATCTGCAGCACTGCCTCAGGGTCGAGGTCAGCGGTCGCGTCGTCAGCGGTAACCGCTTGAACCAGGGGAAGCGCGAGGTCCGTCGCTTCCAAGATGCGTTCCGAGACGGCTTTCCGTTCTCGGTGAAACTCCTGCGGCACTTCATCAACGATAGTGCCACACATTCTACAGAAGGTTCGGGACGTGATCCTCGAACTACCCCGATGGTCTGTTGCTTCATGTGAGCATACAGAGGGGTCTACGGTATATACATGTTCCCGTTTTTCTTGGGATACATGGCCGCAGTCCCTGCAGGTCTTGCGGACGTAATTCGCGGAACTCCCTTGGTAGGAGAATTCCGTGCACGAGCTACACTTCTCCGCCAAGGGCGGATTCGGTGGAGTCTTTTTCTTCGCGCCCTTTCCCCTCGGGCGAGGGTTATAGGTTCCCTCAGGGATACCTATCGAGGCACGAGTTTCGCGATAGTATTGACCTCCTACACCCTGCTGAATGACATAATATCTATTAAACCAGGTGAGGAAATCCTTAAGGTGCGCGGCAGGGCTCGGCTGGACGAGGGCCCAGCGCACGAACTCAGTCTTACGGGATACCTCCTCGTAAGTCTGGCCCTTGTGTTGACCGAGATTAAATCTTCGGTCGGCACCCTCCATCTGCATTGAGCTAGATGGTTGTGAGGGGGCAGCCTTGGATCTGGGTTCGCCTAGATCCCGCACCATATGGCCACTAGGGTCCATATCGTTCCCTGAGGGAACGTACAGGCCCCCGTCGGGGTCCTGTCGTGGCTCCACAATTGCTATGTGGGCCCGGGGTTTCCCTTTCCCTCCCTTAGAGGTAGGGAATTTGCACTCGGGGTCACCTGCCCAGTGACCAATAGCTCCACACCTGAGGCATTTCGACCGTGCCTTCAGGTTTTTCATTTTCTCGCGACGTTCGTCGAGCGTAAGGTGTGATCGCACTACCTTACCTTTCCCTTTTCCTTTGCGGCCCTTGCCCTTACGCCCCTTCGCTTTTCCGAATGCGGCGTTCGCGGCAAGCTGCAATTGGATCACATGGCCGCTGTCTGCATCCTCGGGATCAAGCTCCTCGAGACAGTTAAGGGCAGTTGCCTCTTCTTCCTCGAGCTCGAATTCCTCGTAGCCCGGGTCCTCTTCCTCCTCCCCGGCGGGGTAGGAGTGAGGATCGTACTCAGGCTCGTCCCCAAAGGCGGGGTACGAGGTGTCGTCGTACTCTTCGGCATCGTCGCCGTCGTCCGGCGGCGCGTCGTCGTAGTACTGCGTCTCGTCTTCAGCGACGTAGGCGCGACGGTTAAAACCCTTAGACCTATTCTTACCGTAGCCCTTAGGGTTCCCGCGGCGGGCACCAGGATGGTGATGCGGTCGACGGTCCTGAAAGGTACCGCCACCTAAGGAACGACCTTCCTTTAGGTGAACGCCGCTGTAATGCTCCACTAGGGTAGCAGCAACTGCTTCAAAGCTCCTGTTGCTAGTGGTGCATGCCTTAACGACAAGGCACTCTTGCCGAGTCAAACCGGAAAGCTCCAATAGCAATTCTACACGCATCGGCTCGGAAAGCTCGATGCTGGCGTCGAGAGTTTTGAGCAGCTTCCACCAGCGTCGTCGTCGGCTGACGTACGACAGCATCGACTCGCCACCTTGGCGTGCGAGGACACCTTGCTTTTGGCCCGCACGGAAGAGCTCTCGAGCTTCTTCGGTCGCACGGGGGAAGACGACATTCCTCAACTTGGTGATGAAATCCCGGAGGCCACCAGGGGCAGTCAGGGATTCGATACCGATATCCCGGGCGAGTTCGAAGGCTTCGTCCCGAAGTCCTTCCAGCACTTTATGCACCATTTCGGTTCGTGCTTAAATCGCATAGGATGACATTTCGTCGGCAACCGGCAGTTCTGTGACCGAGTCAGGTGACTTCGGTGCAGATGGTCTCCTGCGAGATCCACCATCAGAGGCTGCTGCAGATGCCTCGGCTGCATCTATGTCGGGCCTGTCCTCGGGAGGTACAGGGGCAGTGGCTCCCGCAGTCGGACTCTGCTCCACGACGCGGCTCTCATCGTCACTGCCTTCTTCTTCTGGCTCCACGGTCTTCTTAGATTTGCTCCTGATGGCATCTTCGTACAGTTTAAGCCTCATAGAGGTCCTAAACTCCCAGTCGTGGAACGTACTGGGGGTGCCATCATATATGTAGCTCCCGCTACGAGTCTCAAGGGGAGTACTCGAGTAGGTGGAGCGACTGTACCGAAGACCGGCCACGGACATGCTTGGCGAAAGTTCGAAGGGAAAGAATTGAGAGGGAGGTATGCAATGGTAGGTATTGAGCACAGGCTACAGGCTACTGCGATCCGCGCAGATACAGGTCCCGGAGGTACCTGGCTCCGCTGCCAGTTTGAGAAAACTGGTGGATCTTTTCGCCGACTGCGAAGCTATCTGAATATGACTCAAGGGCCCTAACGGCAGCGGGAAATATATACAGTTAACACATGCATGTCATGGCCATGGCTTCCTGTACATGTACAACAGAGGGTGCATTCACACTACGCATGACTGTAGGTGCACGGCAGGGTCGAAACTCGAAGACTTCGGCGAGTTCGACAGTACCTTGCAAACATAGCGGAGGTTGCAGGTAATAGACGTGGCGCTTGGCTTCAGAGACCAGAGTAGGTTTTGGAGTCCGTTTGTATGTATATTGGTGAAATGGACGCTCGTCACGGGCCTTCCTCATGGTGACCTGAATGAGCAAGATCACTGCTGAGCCATAATGCAGATTGAATATGACGAGTACATCAGCAATTGCATACCATACACCACTGTCTCCCCTGCACACCCGCAGACTTCACAGGTTTAGCCGACCAACCAAAAGTAACCTGGCTAGCTACGAACAGTTAGTAGCTTTGGCCGCAAGATGTCTCTGGAGTAGCTTCCAGCCGCCCCTTTTCTCCTCCGCATCGTGTCTTCAATGTCATGGCCCTCAGATGGCAGCCATGTACCGTGCTCGAGCCTCTACGGCGGGACGGGATTGCTCATGCAAGTATTTCAGCCAATCTGTCGTATGTGTGTGTAAATATGTATTCGCATGAGTTATCTACACGCGCATATGAAACCGCAGACTCGCCTTCTTCCCTTATGTGCGCAAGACTCCTAACTAGCAAAAAATCCGTATGTACGTGAATACTAAATCAGTGTGTGCGTGCCTCTCTCTCTCTCTCTCTCTCTCTCTATGTATATATATATATATATATAAATGTATGTACGCACGAACGTAGGTATGTGTGCATGTATGTATGTAGGTATGCATGTGTGAGGCTTCGGGGTGGTACAATAATATAAAATTACATATTTGTTTGTGTGTGTGTATGTCTGTATGTACGTATGTACGTGTATGTATCTATATGTACATGCGTATAAATGTATATGTGTATGTCGTGTATACGTATATGTATATGTGTGCATGTGGGTGTATATGCATGTATGTATGTATGTATATATATATATATATATATATATATATTTATTTATTTATATAATGGGCGAAAGTACCTGCGTCCATGCGAAGGAGGGCCGTCTGAAATTGAGGAAGGCTGCCACACCAAAGGCCTCGGCCCTACTCGACATCAGGTACAACATCCCGAGCCTCTAAAGACAAAAACACCCACAGAAGGACATGATGCGTGGAGCCAGCCTGTTTAAAGAGTCAGTCTCCTCATGACCCAGCCTCGAGCCAGTGTTGAAGCACAACTGAGACACGAGCATGAGCCAATGCCCCAAAATGTCAGCCCAGAAAGCCCTTCAGGCCTAATTAACCTCCAAATTGCATGAGGGTCTGCTAGTCGTTGAGTTCTTGAGAAATCCTTTTCTCCTATTCAATCCTTCATGGATGAGCACCTCAGCAAACCCGTTTACGAGCCGCGCCTCCTGCGTCAGCGCCTTCCATTCCTGCAAGGCAGGCTCGGTCCGGCATGGATGCATGGCAAACAGGATACAACTCGCACTTGAGAGTATATGCAAAATCTCGGGCATGATTCTTCGGAAAGAAGTGTGGCATTGCCGGACAGCTCACCTTGGCCGCCTTTGAACGCAACTCTCCAGGCTTCAGTTCTGGGTGCTTTTGGCTGAGCTCCTGCAGTGGCGAATGGGTTATGCAGGCTTTTGGTCGAGGGATGTAGTTGCGATGTCGTTTCGGTATGAGGAAGATCTCATTGGCACTGTCGATCCATGCTGGATTGCTCAGTCGATTGCTCAGCTTCGTTCTTGAATGGGTTGTTCGTAGGTCGTAGGTCAGTTTGGAAACTCAAGCTGCCGTGCAGCTGCCAAGCAAGACGGACGTAGCCGGCAGGCTTATCATTAGAGGACCGCGCTCGCTCTAATTTCAATAAATCCTCCAACGGATGAAACCCTAGAACTTCAATGAACGAGTGCCCCTGGTCCTGGCGCAAGGCTTCCAGCGCCAGGGCGGCACGGTTGGCAGCTGCCGGCGGAGCAGAAGCGGCTTTCGGCTCCGGCACCGCAGAAACCTTCTTCAGGCTCGAGGTTTCGATTTGTGTCTAGGGCGCTTGACTGCCGGGGGGAGGGGGGGGGGGGGGGGAAGATTCCGAGCTTAGCAGTTGGGATCCGGGCCGGGAAGTATAGGGGCCCTTCAGGGTCTGGCGGCGCCCGGAAGCTCCGACACGGTCCTTGGAACTTGCAGCCGGCAGACGCAAATCTGCAAAGCACTGCGTTCTGCGATTCGATTCACCCGTTTGCAACCGACGCTTCCAGAGATGCATTTGGTCTGTTGGCACCCTGGTCTCAGCATAGAATCAGGAAGGTGAAGTCTGCAGGGACTCGCTGGAATTCCGCGACGACATCCTGACCCTTAAACCTTCCACCATGAAACGTATGCCCAACAACCGCGGCCACGTGCCTCCGATGCTTTCGCTGATGCCGCAGAAAGCACCGGGTTTCGCAGGTCCTGTCAGGGCTAAAGTCATTTGGTTGACCTGCTTGAGTTGCGCGTTCGTGCCGATAATTGCGTGCACGAAAAGCCCCACACACGAGCTTGTATCGGTCGCTATAGACTTGCAGTTCTGTCACCAGCGTGTGCTGAAGACATCCTGCGCGACTGCGCCAACCCCAGTTGCAGGACTTCTGAAGGTCTTCTGAGCTAAACTTGGGTTGTGTGGCTTGCAAAGCTTGCCTAATGAAGCCTCAAGGAGTTCGCGCCTCTTGTCGAAGCTCGACTTCCTCAGTTGCCCCGTGCAATCTTGCTGACAGCTTGTGCTGCTCACGACGATGTGCTCTCATCGGCAGGGTTCAATCACAAAACACCGGGTGAAACTCTTGACAGTTAGATGACCCCACCACCAACTTCATGGCCGGGCTTCAACCAGCTCGCAGTTGCTCATCCAGTAGTCTTTAAAGCTTTCCTCCATTTGCCACATCGGAGGAGGGGTTGTAATGTGTAAGGTATTGGACGGCTGTTGAATAGCTTGCGGCATGATGATAGGGGAATGCCGATGTGTTCTAAAACTCCAAAATCCCTGGAATAAAGCTTGCCGAAGAGTCGAAAAGGCTGTAAACGACGGTAGGTACTTCGAGCAGGCGAGAGCAACACCGTGTGCGTGGGGCGAGGCGTGCAGTTGCCAAGACATCGGCTTTCCAAGCGAGGTGCGTGTGCGCGAGCACGGCATGCCGACAGCACAACTTAGTTGCTGAGTTCATAAGCACGCAAAAGTGTACACTTTCAGTTTTACAGTGGGAAATACTATCCCAAAAAGTGCAAAGTGTATCCACTCAGCTACTAACACAAGTTAGTGAACGGTATATTATGGCGGGAAGAACATACATCAAAAACATTCTTAAACGACTCTGACGTGTTGTAGTAAGGGGAGTCGACGGTTTTTGAATCATTATGCAATGGTTTAACACCGTCAGCCAACAAGTAAGTCAGTCAGTTCCGAGGTCGCAAAACGTTGAACAAATCATCGGGCACGATCGCAGAAGCTGCACCTCCCGCCAGCTGAAGTAGCGCTGAAGGAGGCAGTTGCAGAAATCGGCGTGGGCAAAGATCGCGATCTCCTGCATGTTCGTGTTGCACCGCCTTGCTTGCTACCGTCATCGTCAACACATATCAACGGTATCGACGTCGCTGCGGTTGTCGACTGCTGTCGCCGCGACCCTTTACCCTGGCAACCACCTGCAGCTGCATCATCACCACCCAAACATGAACAGAACCACCATCAGCCACCAGACAACAACATCTCGATCAGAAAGAAGATGATGACATTGCTGACATCGGTATTCCTGGTAAGGATGGTGACGATGTCATCATGACCATGATCAGTAGTGTAACGGCAACATCACCGTCGTCTTCGGAGGCATGATCCTTATCCACCACTGCCAAGATCAATCTATCTAACCATCACCACGGACCACCCCTATCGTTGCACTTTTCATCATCGACATCGTTATCATAATCGTGGTTTCTGTGGCCGTAGTCATCTCTGTAACATGCGGGACCCTTCACCCTCTTCGGGGAGACCTTCCCGGGCTGCTGCATGAGCCAACCCACGAAGGCGTCGACGCGGCGCTCGAAGTCAGGCCGGGACTCCCGGCGGCCTCAGAAAGAAAGAAGTCTCAAGCCAAGGCTGTTAACCTCTGAACCCTAGATATAGAAGGAGTATGCACAGGTAGTTAGACTGCTTCTACGATATAGACATTTCTGTGTACATAAACACAAACATGTAACCAGTACGCTCCCACGTATACAGTCGTGCGGCGCACTCTTTTGCTTGCGTATGGATTCGCGTGTGCATTATACCCGAGCGCATACATGCGTGCATACAAACGCACATGCATGCATGGCGAGGGGCAGAAGTCCGCTGCCGCTGTCACTGCTGTTTAGCTGCTGCAGTTGTGTTTGTGGTTTCAGGGTTAATATGTTTGCTTCGACACTGACGGTCCATTTCCCGACCCGACTGGGAACGGAGAAAATCTGCTTCACTGATCACACGGAGGGGAGGAACCTTAATCCGCGGCTTGAACTAAAACAACAAAAGCCTCAAGCCTCAACACCTGGGGCTTTCAAAAAGCTCAAAGCCTAAGCGCAGAAACCTGCATGCGACGCTCTCCACTCCTGGAAGTGCACTCGGCTGGAAGCAACTTGTTTGTAGCACACAGACAAATGTATGAACACACAAAAAGAGCTGGGAGATCAAGCGGCCTGTCGCATCTTGCAATAGACCACACGCTGCGAATTATTTTCAGGTGCTGCATCAGCTCTTGGTAAATTTTCGTCAGGAACATTAAGAGAACGTTCGCTGCTCTGTCGAAATCTCTATCGATTGTTTTCTGCAGGTGACAAACACGAGGTCTCAATGGACCGCTTTAGGAGAAGCTGAGTTTTAGCTCCGGACACGGAGGCCCCTTGCAACTTGTGGAGATGATCCTCGACCAGCTGAGCTGTAGCTGCTGCGACTGCGTGTCGTCGCGGCTGCGGTTCCGAAAATGTCGGTCAAGTCTTGAGACGAAGAGCTGAAAGGATGCTCATTGAGTCATGACCGCCACGGTTCTGTTGGTACGCCTGTTAACAGTTAACGATGTCTCCTACAGCTTAGCAGCCT